TCTATCTATCTATCTATCTATCTATCTATCTATCTATCTATCTATCTTTATATACATTTGCTGTAGGCAGTAAATCTCTTATTAGTAAGATAAGTAAGATCTTATTGCCATCCAATGCCGAAATATTACTTACAGTTTCTAGGTTATCTAATAGATAAACATTAACCTATTATATTCTGTCCATTTTCCAAAACGTTGTGATGTGTTTTAAAGGTTAAAATCAATATGTTTGATAGAAATGGATTATAATTTTCAGCAAAGAAATGCAATTATTTTAAATGTGTATGTGTTGAATTTAACGACAAGACCATCTGCCTGGGATCAGCACCCAGCTGAAAACCAGGAATCCTCGATAGCATGTGAGCACAGTAGTGCACGTGGCATTGCTCCCTCGCTCATCTTTAAGGGCTCTGTTATTGCAAAGAATGGGAATGACACCTTTCATGTTTTCCCCCACAACAGAGGGTATTTCATTTTTCAGCAAACCACATTCGCTAAATATTTTACTCAGCAGCCATCTACACTTTCTTCTAAAAACCTCTTCTTAATCACAGGCATTTCACTTCAAACCTTAAAGCGATGCAGTTTTTAATCATTATTTTAAAACTCTCCTTATGTGGCAGATGGGTTTTTATTAGATCTTCCGACCAAAAATTCAAAATGTCAAATGTCTATAATGTGATGCTCCATTGACGGTCCTGTGAATGCTTTAAACCCAATAAATATTTGCTGTAATTACTAAGCATGTTATCCTGTTAAACTGTAAATTTCCTGTTTGCTAAACCAGATACAATATCATGAACAAAACAATTATTTATACAACTGGGTACAAAAATGGACTCGCAAATAGGTGAAAGCCTATTTAATGTTCCTCTGTGTGTGTTTTATGTGGGCAGTTCCATTAGTTTTACTGCTCCGTGTTGTTGACACAACTATGAAGCCCTGCGCATGGTTTTCACTAAACACATTGGCACTCGTCCAGTTTTCAGATGATAGCCTTGCCCTGTCTGTTGTTTGTTTTGACAGAAATCAATTGATGTCCAGTATGGAGGACCTACTTTTCTACACCATCACTGATGGCAAAGAGATGATCCCCCTCTCCCACTTCTTCACCGTGAGTCAGAGGCATACTCTCTTACTCTGTCATGGCAAACCCTGTTTTGGAGTTTTCATCACTCAAACTCACACATCCACCACCTGCTCTGCGGATTGTTATGTTGCACCATGTCACTATAAAGTTCGGTTAAATCAACCTCAGTGGGCTATAGGAATTTGAAACCTCTCCAGCTGACAGTCTGGCTCTAAAGTTGTTTAGGGAATATGTAATTGCTCTAAATATAGTAGGTGTGACAAAGCAGATTATGGTAAATACCATCAGAGCTGCGCTGATGTTTGATGGTTTCTCGACGTTTTCACCTCTGTGCTTTTTATGTTGTACTGGCAGATCATGATCTTACTAGATTAAAGGTTCTTTTTAATCTACAAAGGGCACCTCAGATTCGAATGAGTCTTTGACTTTCTAAAATACTTCCATGCACATATAGTACACTGAGCAGAAAACACATTACTAAAAAAATGTCAGAATCTCTGAATTCAACCAGTGAATTTAGACTCTGGGGAGCTAGCAATTTTTCTTCTGGTAACCACTTTAGAAAGCAACAGCATAAAAAAGACAGGCATCTGGAGACCTTGGTGACTATGGCAACTCAGTTCTTTTAAAAACTGCTATGCCATTAGGAGACAAGACATATGTCAACACCGGTGGCGACCTGTTACCGTGCACATGACTAGATGTGTTTGTAGAGGTGACCTGGGCAGAATTTAGGGAGGGAAAGTGCTGTTTACATTGTATTTTACAGTCATACACCAATGCCTAGAAAAGGAAAAAAACAACTAAAACATTGAAACAGAGAAAAATTAACAATAAAACATTCAAAAAATTGAAAGGGGAACATGTTTACAGTTCTGGGAAAAGTAGGCTAATACCTGTATTTCTGAATGCAAAGCAGCTCACGAAACAGTGACAGTCACGTACTGTCCAGGATAAAACTCTAAAATAAGCCCTGGAACACCCTGCACTGCATTCCTGCCCCGAAGCTAAGAATCTCACAGACATTCAATAACTGCAGCACCGACTGGCACTCATCGGTTCGGTCTGTTTGCTCACAGACGCGCTTATCTGATATGATGAGTCAAAAGAAGAAGAAAAAAACAACTACTACCCAAGCTTTCTTGGTCAGGAGGGAAGTGCACATGGCGTCCCCAAAATAGCCACACGTGCTTCACACGGTGACTACCAGTGTGACCCACAGTGAGGGAGGCATGGCAGCAGCGCTCCTCATTTCCCCCCCCCCCCCCCCCCCCCGGCACACCTGAGGCTTCGAAGTCTCCTAACTATGTGACCAAGTTTGAGATCCTGCCAATTGACAGTACATAAATAAATGCAAGGTGTCGTTTATCAACCCCCTCCTTCCACGCTCTGCTCAAAGATATATCATTTCCCCACTACGCAGGCTTTGAAGAAAACAGGTTTGTTAACATCTGACCCCCGGCTGCGTGACTGCATCCGTCAGATGCGGCAGTCCACACGTGACGCTGTCGGGACGGTCATGATGGACAAGAAGCTCTTCAGAAGGTGAGAAAAAGCTTTGTTTGCTTATAAGGGTCACACTTAAGCACACAGTGACTTCCAGGAGGGAAAACCGGCTTGTTCCAGGAAGCCAAAACGGCGACCGTGTTTGCTTCAGAGAAACACTGCGCACATGTCCCTGCTGCCTGAGCCAGCAGAGGGACAGGCATCCTTAAAAGCAGCGGTAAATGGACTAAGAAGCGTGCAAGGTGTGAGGCCTGGCGAGGTGAAGGGACTTTCATGCTTTTTCATTTCGTAAGAGAGAGCTGATTTGTGGTCAACACTATTTGAGGCCAACAGACTGACAGACACAGGCGTTTTATAGCTGACAGCTGCTAGGAACCAAATTCATGTGCATGCATGCATGCCAGCAGAAGCAGCGGAGGGTAGAGGAAGACAGAGGGGTCTGAGGGGCTATTAATGAAAGGGCATCGTTCTGGTTGAACTCCTGACTGTGGCAATTACATTAGCCGGCTGGGCCGTTCTACGAGCGCCATCAAGCTCCCTGGTGTCCTAATGGTGTAATTTTCTAACTGACAAGTGTAATTCACTCAGATGTGTCCTCAGGTCTGAGTCGACTCTGGGTCGCACAGTCTGTCACTGTCCAAACCATTCTGACACATCTATTCTTGTGCTTTTTTAAAATATTTTTAGAATTATGAAGTTGTCCAATCTCACAGATTATTCAAGAGTTCGCTATGAATATGCTACTGAAAATAGAGAGAGCTATCTTCTCTTATTTTTAGGAAATGACCTACATGAATTATGCAAGTTATCCCTACTCTGCCTTCCTGGTGTCTCAGAACCACACTATATCTTCCCTTGGATTAGTCAGGCCTCCTGGACAGATATTTTAGTTCAGACCGGCTGTGACAGAATGTGCATTCCATTCCTTGAGAGCTAGCAGTGTTACTGACCAACAAAGAAGGTCTGTTTTCCATTTTCTTGCTAAATGATGCTTGGCTAGTGTCAATTTGCTTTAGTCATAAAAAAATGCTCAGTCAAGACCTGGAAGTTTCAGGAAAATTGAAACAGATTAGAGTTTTAGTTGTGTGTTCTCAGGCACCATCTGTCTCTCTACCTGAACATGTTGAGCTTTAATCCTGTCGGACAAATGTTTGCTCCCCGTAGCAAACAGGGAGGCTATATTCTGCTTTGATCCCACATAACGGCAGGACATATTGGATTGAATATTGGTTTGTTCATATGTACAGTGTATGTATTTTTTACCACATACTAAGCACAATTTTGCCTTTCTGCCGTTCTGCCTTTCTGTCATAGTCTCACTGAAATTAAAAGGTAAATTTGCTAATGTTATTATAACATTGGTGCTTCCTCAACTATGACAGTTATAATTTATATCTTCATTATCAGGTTTTATTAATTGCCCTCCAGTTTAACAGTTTCTTGATTGAAAATTTTAGTGTATTGCTTACTCACCAGTTATGTTTGAAAGTATTTTTGTATCATGTCAGAGGAGCTAAAAGAATCTATCCCATTCAGGTGAGATTCCCGTATTTTCATGCTCCAAAGGTTTGAACACCTGCACTGTAACTTCATGACAATGTACCAGCATGAAAAAGTGACGTCAAAGAAAGGCATGCATTTGGTATAGCCAAAACTCCAGGGTCAAACAAATACTTTTCATTTATAGCATAATTAGATTTGGCATTTCTATTCAGGCTGTTATGAGTCCCATTTTGATATTGGAATGTATGCCACATAGATGTGTTTGTCTTTCCATTTGTGTCAATTTAAATTGTGTTCTGTTGCAGATGTGTGGGGAACAACATCTTGTTGCTGACTAAGGCTTTCAGAAAAAAATTCATCATCCCCAACTTTGATGAATTTACCCAGCAGATTGATAGGATGTATGAGAATGCACATCAGGAAACGAGAGGGCTTGTAAGTAATATACATATTAACTCAGTGCATGAGTTAGAAGGGATTGTATGTTTTTTATTGTCATTTTTATTGTCATTGTAACACGTAAACATGTCCCTCATGTGTTTTTACTCAGGTGGCCAATTACATTCCTCAGCTGGCTAAGTTCAACCCTGAACTCTGGGGTGTGTCTCTGTGCACAATTGATGGACAGAGGTGATGTCACAGTTTCCCCTCAAATGCATCTTTCCATGCTGAAAACCTTCAACCTGTCTACCACCTTATTGACACGCCTCCATTTTTGGCCTGTTTTCAGGTTCTCAGTGGGTGACACCAAGATTCCCTTTTGCCTACAGTCGTGTGTGAAGCCTTTAGAATATGCCATTGCTGTCCATGAGCTCGGCACTGAGCATGTTCATCAATTTGTGGGCAAAGAACCAAGTGGATTTAAGTTCAACAAGCTGTCACTAAATGAGGACGGTAAGTGATTAGTCTCACTGACTCTAATAACCCTCTCACAAGCTCAGTGTACATACAACAAGCTCAACGCTACAATAAGAAAAAAACGTTTCTTCTAATTATTATTGAAAAAGCTAAAAAAAAAGGTGAGATACAGATAACGATGCATAGATAGAAGATAAAAAGACTCCAGTAAAAAGTCCTAATACTAAACACCAGTTGATGGGGTCATAATCAGTGGACAATTTAACAGACCACTCAATTAACATTTACTCTACTTACTTAGTAGTAGCAAAAGTCTATTAAAGAAACTATTTACCTTCTAATCACCTCATTTTGGAGCTAACTGCTGTTGTTTGGCTGATTAACTAATGATACGGTTTCTGCTCTCCGGGATATATTATTCTTGAGGTCGAAAGTAATTGGTGATGCGATGTTTTTATTTTTCTGCAGATAAACCACACAACCCCATGGTGAACGCGGGAGCTATTGTAATCAGTTCTTTGCTTAAGGTAAAAAATTATTCCACATAATACAATCCCTGATTACATTGACATGATAATAGGGTGTTCACTGAATGCAGATGCTCACCTTTCGGAATATGATTATATTATAACATGACACAGTTGAGGAGCTTCACAAAACTTCCTAAATCCAAACTATAACTTTTGCAACAAAGATGCCTACACCTGATCAGACTTTTTGCAAGGTCTAATCAAACATTCATCATTGAACCTCAATCAATGTCAGTGTACGGGCACGCTCGGCTGTGCTGCCTGATACTGAATATTTTTAACCTATTCAGACCTGAGGCTTCCTCTCAGCACGGGAGCTGCAGCACTCAGATGTTGCATAAGGTCACAGCGTGTAAATCATGGTTTAAAGGTCTAAATAAACAAACCACCAAAGTGTTTTTAAGGCTTAGAAAAAACCAAATATTCGTATTTCTATTCCCACTAATAAAAAACTATTAAAGATTTTCTTTTTTCAGAATAAAAAATTACAAATCGAGATGTTTTTGGCTTGAAATACCAGGAATTGGACTCCTCTGACGTTTCACATCAGCAACAGCCTTGACATACTTAATATCTAATGGACAGGGCATAACCTCCCAGTGACAGCTGAACCATCGTCATCACCACGTGACTCACTGTTATACTTCTGTTAGCTTTACCTTCAAACTGAAACATGTGGGGGGGGTATTTTAGCCATATATGGCTTTTTCCTCAGCTGAGTTTCTGAGACCTTTTGTCAGATGTGGGTCAAGTCCGGTAGCAAGGGAGGGACTTCAGGCCTGACAACAGGGGTGTGTCTGTGCCTTTGTCCAATTAGAGCCTCCGGAATGGAAAGCGTGGTTCCCACCTCTCACGTAGAGGGGGGGCTGTGTTTGAGTGAACACTGTTTGTATATTGTTTTTGCATGCAGCTAATAATGTGTTGGAGGTCATGTAAAATTAAAGTCTGGAGTGCAAAGTTGCTAAAAGCTGTTTTGATCCCACTCTGCAATAATTATGCCTGAGTGGGAATCGTAGCTCACAAGATCAAAAGATCTTTCAAAAATGGTTTTCACATCAGGCAGAGGACTGAGTGGAATTTCTTGGGAAGTCATTAAACCAGCAGGTTTTGCATTATGTCTTCTGCTCGGCTCCCATTTATGGCTGACATCACCCCGAGCATTTCTTGGCAGTCATTAAATCTTGAATGTAAGTGCAAGCCCTTCTTGGTAACTGCACGACTTGGTAAAGATCCTTTACTGGACCTTGAAATTCAAGCACAGTCATAAACAGCCCCAAGACCACACTGAGCACATGGACAGACATGCTCAGTAGCAAGATCTTTACGTCAGACAATGACATCCAGCCAAGTCTTTAAAAGAGTGCTTCAGTTGCAAGGTACGCAAACAGTGCCATCTGTAGGGACTTCGTAAACCCTGGTGCCCTATGAATCTGACATGAAATGATCATTTTTCTCTCTTTTTTGACAGCCTCATTCAAATAAGGCCGAGAGATTCGACCATGTGAGTGAATGCTTTTTATTAGTTTTAAAGCCACACTTTCATTCGACATCCCCGCTGAGGTTTTCTTTCAATATGATGTTTTCACAGGTGATGGAGTTCCTGAAAAGCATGGCTGGTACAGAGTATGTGGGATTCAGCAACGCAACGTGAGCAAAGGAGTTTTCTCTCATATTTTACTTACTTTGTGGAATGCAGCTTTTTAAACATGATTTTTTTTTACCTGCAGATTCCAGTCAGAGAGGGAGACTGGTGATAGGAATTATGCAATTGGTTATTACCTCAAAGAGAAGAAGGTTTGTTGGGTTGTTTTTTTTCGTTTAGTTTAGCATTTGATCCCAATCCCTCTGTTCCCCCCTCAATTCTCAGGTTTTTACATTTTTTATCCTAACTATGGGCTGCTTCTGCTTCTTGCAGTGTTTTCCTGACAATGCCGACATGACTGCAGCCCTCGACTTCTACTTTCAGGTAAGGCCAAAGAGGCTGCAAGTAATTCTGTCAGTTAGCTTGACTGACATGTCTCAACAGCTTTCTAAAAATGACCACAGCATTTAACATAGGCCTATGTTTTCTTCCAACAATTTAGTCTCTGGTGCTTGTTTGGTCATTTATCTACTGGCAGTGTTTACATTTGTTCAAGCATGAATAATAAAGCTGCTGAGAAATGAAAACCAATTCTAAAGAAAACATAGATTATGGTTGAATAGTCAGAAATGACTTCTTATCATCTTTACTTAATCTATTTTCCCTGACCATGTTGAAAAAGGTTTACACTCAGTCTTACACTCAGCTTTAATGTGGGTTTGCAGTGCTTGAATTTCAGATGTTCAAGCTATATTTCAAGTATTACTTTAAAATCGTGTCCTTATGCAAACTCATCCCTTCTGATCCAGCTGTGGGTTTTTAGTATCACACAGCTGGTACGCCTCTGATTAGATTTTACCACCATGGCACACTAAGGTGGGGTTACGCTCGGGAGCAGCATCCACAATACTGGGAGAACAATGGAGTTCTAATCTGCTGCCTCTTCATTGCAGTTGTGTTCCATAGAGATAACCTGTGAGTCAGGAAGTGTCATGGCTGCTACTCTGGCCAATGGAGGCATTTGCCCAATCACAGGAGACTATGTGTTAAGTGCTGAAGCTGTACGCAACACCCTAAGTCTCATGCATTCCTGTGGCATGTATGACTTCTCTGGACAGTTCGCCTTCCATGTGAGTACTTTCTATTTAATATAGAAACATGTTGACTTTGTTCCTGGTCATAAAGCATCTGTGTCAGCAAATGAATTATCCTTGTTTAGGTTGGCTTGCCAGCAAAATCTGGAGTTTCTGGGGCTGTGCTGTTAGTGGTTCCCAATGTGATGGGAATGCTGTGTTGGTCCCCACCGTTGGACCGGCTTGGAAACAGCGTCCGTGGCATTCACTTCTGTCAGGTAAGCTGCTCACGCTTTCCCTTTCACTTTGAGAGCAAACCCTAATTCGTCCATCTGAATTCAACTAAAACACAGTTTTGGTGCTATTGTGAATGCCTGTATTGATTTATCCAACTCCTGATCATAAGGAACTTGTGTCCTACTTCAACTTCCACAATTACGACAACCTGAGGCACTTCACCAAGAAGCACGACCCCAGGAGAACATCAGATGACGACCCAGTAAGTTCAGTCCATCTGGAGTGATGCAACTGATGCATTTCAGTTGTTGATTGGTTGAGAATAGGTTTAAGCAGGCGTTTTTAAACAGCTCACTTTAGCATTTTGCTTTTGCTCCCTCAGAGTAAGTCAGTGGTGAACCTGATGTTTGCGGCGTACAGTGGGGACGTCACAGCTCTGAGGAGGTAAGGATCGCGTCTGGTTTTTTACCACACGCAAAAAGCTGCAAGTAGTGAGACACTGTGTTTGCCAACAGAAAAACAACAGGGTTACATTTTTCTAATCTAATCATTTGCAAAGAGAGCCTTTTTTTCTTATTTAAGACATGTTCACGGTTAGAGAAACTCAGCTCAAAACACAACAGTCCGACAGCCTCGGCCTCCCATTCATGGATATGTCCTCGTGCACTTCTCCCCCCAGGTTTGCCCTCTCAGCTGTGGACATGGAGCAGAGGGACTACGACTCCCGAACAGCTCTCCACGTCGCCGCCGCAGAAGGTGACGCACCTCATCATTAGTCCCCTCATTCCTCAATGATATAAGCTGTGGCATTCACACAAGAGTTCCCTGTGTGATGGATTTCTTTGATGTTTTCTCTTAGGCCACGAGGAAGCTGTCGTCTTTCTGACGGAAATATGTAAAGTCAATCCCTTTATTAAAGACCGGTAGGTATTCAGGATTAATCTCATTCATCTGGTACTAACTCATCAGACTAACTGTAACACTCCATCCATCTCCATATCACACCTTGCTGTTTATCAGATGGGGCAACACACCCCTTGATGACGCCATGCAGTTTGGCCATGATGTTGTTGTTTCAGTCCTGCATAAGTACCAGAGTGAGTACGCCGACGGCAACTCACCGAGCAACACAGCAGAGGAGAAGACCACACTGGACACCATGAAAAGTACTCTTTAAGCCTCATGGAAGCATGAGGGTATGCAGTACAGATGTATTTCATTTTGCCCCAGAGTGGAGCGAACGGAACGCAGGGTAACAGAGGAATCTGACGAATGAATGGGTTTTTATTTATCAGGCGATAAAGCACATCATCCTTTAGACTGCTAAAGACTGTGCCTTTGTGCAAACAGAAGGGCCGGCCATTCGTGTACAGCAAAGCACAATGTCAGTAAGCAACGTGTTGTATGCATTAAGACTGATTTAGACGGTGTGGAATTAATGCTGTTTTGTGCTCAGTTTCTCGTAGATTAAATCCGCTGAGATGTAAATATTTAACATACTGTGACATCTGTTTTTAACAGAGTGGATTGTTGTTTATTTGACTTCATTGGTATGCTGTTTAATGGTAGAGGGTTTACGCTTCCTGTGGAAAAACTACAGCATTCCCAGAGCTGCTTCCTTGAAACTTCTACCTCGACTGGAGGTGATTTAGTCACGTCTCCAAAACTGAGAGGCGCTTTAGTCAAACAACGCGCGCTTTCAGGGTTCTGTTCTGGTTAGATTCATGTTGCAGCTTTTGTATGAAACATGGATAACTTTGTTTTTTTTCATATCCATACATGGCGTTCATTGATGTGTTTGATGATATGTCTGCACTTCTGCATTCATTTCTTACCTTCTGCCTCTTTGTCATTCACCTCTTTTTAAGTTTCAGAGTGGTTATTTCTCAACAGGAATTCTGTTACTGTAGATATCATCATTCTGCTGTAAATAAAAGACAAATGTGGGAACACCTTCAGATAAATTATTTTATTAAACAATGTGAATATGAAACTGCGAGACGTTTGGCATTGGTTTGAGTTTTGCTACAGTGGGAAATTCCCCAACATTCACCATGAATGAGCCATTAGGCAGTTTATGCTCTTCTTAAAACCAACCACACATATTTTTCGCTTCAAATGGTGAAGCCTCAGTGATTATATGCTGTCAAACAGCATCTTTCACGCAGCTGCCTGACAGTTGATTAGAAGACATGAGTGTAGACGATGATTGTTAACGCATGTGATGTTTACCTGACTTTCAGAAACCAGCCATCGCCTGTTATTTAGCTGTACATGATGCTGCTCCCTCCTGCAGTGACTTAAGATACTGTTGTGATAAGAGTTGCTAGAGAACAAAACCGAAGGCTCTGCATTTTCCAGTCACTCCAGATATCAGTCAATCATGCCTCATTTGAGGCCTTCAGGCTCCTCCAGACCAGAGTGTGTTAGCAGCTCACCGTCCCAAAGTCCGAACGCGGGACAGAGAGGGGCCTTGAACTGGGTGTGGAGAGCGTGGATGATCCGGGGTTTCTCCACGTCCACCAGCCCCAGCAGACCCGCTTCATAGTCAAGTAGGACCCCCACACGGTCAGGCTTTCCCACCAGCGTCAGTGGAACCACTTTACCGTTGGTCATGGCAAACCACTTCCGCTGAGCGTAGCCGAACACCCAGGAGCCGGCGTTGGTGCCCACGCAGTCGTCTCTGGACATCTGCGCCTCCGCCACACCCAGGCGGAACTCTTGGGACTTTTTGACCGTCACCTCCCAATAATGGCGTCCGCTGCTGACCCTTTCGTCGGCAAACACTACGGCCCAGTCTCGGAAGCGCTCGGGATTGCCCTGGACGTGGCTGGGGTCAAGGCCCAGCATGCGGTAAATGATGCCCGTGTCTTTCTTGAAAAGGTCCAAGCTGCTGTGGGCCGTGCGCTCGTCAAGTCTGAACTGCAGATCTGAAGGGAAAAGGTTGGAGAGAGTCCAGATCAATAAACCCAAGAACAGTAGTTACTCTATGGTTAACTGCACTGGACAAATGGAGAAAGCTCCACTATTGGATGATACTCTGCTAAGTCAGCTTCTTTTTTTTATTGAGTCAGAATTTTTTTCAAATCTGCTCACATAGTCTCACACTCTGGCTTTGTAGAGCATGTCTAAAGAGATTTAGTGAAACTGTTGTAATCTTTTAATAATATCATTTCATACCAGACAGGGGGAAAAGTCTGATACTAACACTAACAGCCTCAATTCTTTGAGGAATGGAGTTGGTTGATGTTTCCATTTGTCTTTTCTGTTTCCTACAGTTCTAGGTAGGACTCTGCTCAGCTACTTACAGCAATTGTTTTGATCATATCTGTGCTGTTGTTCTCTCTATTTGCAAAACACGCGGAGCATAACCAAACCCTCCAAGTGTTGGGATCATATTTCTATTTGTTAGATGCATTTACTCAGAAGGGGAACCTCTTCGGCTGAAATGAGAACGTTAATTCACCTACTGTCAGACGGAACATTTATCACCTAAAGATCCAAGTAACTCCCTGTAACACTAAGCAGAAATGACCTTACAGGTTTAGTGTTGACACTGTTTATTTTGGTTTAAGGGAGCACTGATAGCATTTTAGGCAGGTGAGGGTTTTCTCCGTTGTTTCCAATAAGCAAACCTCCCTGAAAAACACCCATTTTTGCCAAATATTTTTTACAAGGAAAAGCTTCACGCTTACAACACCCACAATAACAAACGCCTGTCATTTGCTGTCACTGTGCCCGACATGGGACACTGACCTCTGAGGTGAGTGGGAAAAAGTAGCATTTTTAGACACCTCCACACCACATTGACTCACTGTTTCCCGCCGAAGTGGATATGAAGCATGTCCTCGGTGGCAGGCTCACGGGCCGCCAGCTTCTGGCCGACCCAGCGGACACTGTCCGTCCTGCCAGGCGACAGAGACGCATTACACCTACGGGCGTCGACATGTTTTTTCCTCCTGCTGCTCACATGTTGTCGACTCTCCATCTGCTTCCGAAACGTCGCAGCGTCGTACCTCCGGCGCCCCCTGCAGGCCCGGGGAGGAAACCCCGCCAGGCAGCAAGTGGCTGCTCGCGCTAGCCTTCTCTGAAACAAACCAAAGGACACTTTTGTTCACAGTCCAGGCAATGTGTACATTGCATTCTTTTTAATTAAGACGTGAAACTTCACAGCCAATTTGCTGAAGTGACATCAAAGACCGAGGACTTCTGGCAGAAGAGTCACTTCCTCTTACCATCTGAGGAAATGTGGATTTGAGGCATCAGCTTAGTTTTTGTAGAAGGAACCTGTATTCAAATTTCATAGTCATTGTCTTTCTTGCAAAATGTCAAATTCAAATTATGAAGCAGAACGCTTCAAATTCCTCCCGCAAGCAAAAAAGCACCCCAAAAAAGTTGATGGTCTTAAGATATTAAGTTACTCCACAGCAGTACTGAAGGAATTACATTGTGATCACTTCTTTGGATCAGGATGAAGCTCATGTATAAAGTACGTTCCTGCTATAGAGCTAAGAGATACCACTGACAATAAGAGAATTTCACAAAGAAGTACCTGTGACGGAACAGAGTCAAATGGGAGACAAGGTTTGTTTGAACTTTATTAATATCTTTAATGAAGCCAGAATTGTTTTCTTTTTCTGTCACTAGGATTTTTCCTTTCAAGTGTGTAGTGGATAATGCATCTTTCATCACATGCAATGAATATTTTGTGATAATAACACAGCATCATTTGGCCTTGTGGCACAGTTAGATCAATTTTCCCACACCAGTATCCAGCTGGGGACTAAATGCCATTTCTTATTCATAGGCCCAATCTAAACCCGGCCCATGGTATTTTGATTTGCAATGCTGCATGTAATGACTTTGTTTTTGAAAGAGGCTGTTCTCAGACAAACTCAGCAACCCCCGAGTTCTAGAAACAGCTTGGATCTGAGTTTAAGGAGTTTAAGTTTTGGCCTCCTTTGCTGAGACTTAAGTTTGAGTTTATTATGTTCAAAGACAGGACAAAAAAATATCCTTATTACACGTCAGCACATACATACGTATATGCTTCACATCATGCAATTCCATTTAGAACTTAACACGACATTAAAATTCAATGCACCAAGAAGCTGATTAAAAAAGTTATTAAATGTTAATTTCTTCGGATGTGGGAAAATCAGATTTTCTGGAGCCCCAATTAAGACTTCAAAGACAGATCCAGCTTTATGAGTGCAAATGGGTGTTTATTATGGAACAAGCTTGTTATGGGCATTATGCTATTCTCTTTGTTACTAGCACAGATGTAATAACTCTTTTTGACTGTTACTTTCACATAAGGGACAGTAACTTACATCATTGTACTGAAAACCGTCACATCCAATTTCAAACAAATGCACAGGTACAAGATGCCACAGTAAGCTCATTCATAAAACCTTGCAACGTGGATTGTGTTCCAACTCAGCCTAAATAAATCTTTTCCCTGCATGTTTTTTGACTTGCTACAGTATAAAAAAATCACATTTTGCACTTTCTAGTTTGACGGTTCTTCTGTGATGTGGAAAGGAGGCCTCAGTGTGACGCATTGAGGAGGATGAATAATCTAAATGTAGGACAAAAATTGGCCAGACAAATTGAATCTTTCTGAAAAATGCAAGACCAGAGGTTTAGATAAAAGTTTTATGGAAGACACATCTCATGTGTCTGATGTAATTTCATACAATTGCCACTATGTCTATTTCATTATTGTTGTTGTTGCTGCTTGAATGGGCAGCAAATAAACCTTAAATATGTTCTTTTTAAACCCTCATAGCTACATCAAAAGCTGGCTTTGGCAAAATAGTTGAACTATGGCACTGAAATTCAAATGATCTGAGTTTGAAATGAGCTTGTTAAAGAACATTAGAGCTACCTTCACCCATCCACAAATAACTTAATTTCTGCTCTTACTTCTGTACATTGTTTAGAAAACTTCACCTTTTTAGTTTCTTATGAAATAATTTAAATTTGTATAAACCCATACTGAACTGTCCTTTATAGGTTTTATTGCAGTTCCTTTAAACGAAAATTGTCTTCTGACTCTAGCTCATACTTTTGTCATTCTTAGATCATCAAACTAATCTTTGAACTTCGGCAGAACCTATAGGAACGTATTCCTTTTCTTTGGAATGTCAGTCTCATAATTAACATAAGCCTTAATGACATGGCCCATAAAATATCATGATCAATAAATGAGAATTGAAAAAAATCCAAATTTTACCAGAAATGAATGCATTTTAGACGTCTGACTGTGAGCGTGCGTGTGGTGGAGCATGGAGCGGTATAAGTCACAGGTGAACAGGCGCACAGCGTCAGTCCTCTCTTCTCTCCTCTCTCCTCTCCTCCAGTCCGCCGCAGCTGATGCTCTCAGACCGACACAGACAGCAGAGGAGGAAACCTCACGATTCCCCACCGATCCGCTCGGTTTCCGAGAACAATCAACATCTCCAGTCCTGACCTCCCCTGTGGGCCAGAGCGACACGCGCAAAGTGCGTCTGCAGAGCAACTCCTGAAAAATGCGCGGAAGTGTCACACCGGATTTCTTTCTCTCTTCGTGATCCAGCGATTCCTTCTGCTGATCCGCCGGAATTATTTATACTCTTTGGGACTTGTAATATACTCGCGATCAACTAGCTGATTTAAACTCTGTATCCATCTGTACCTGCACATTGCTGTAGCACACTGGCTTTGGACTATCGCTCTGGCTTCTTGGCTTTTAATCGTGTTTGAGTCACGCCGCTTGTGCACGTCTGCTTCTAGTGAGGGGCATTGAATCTACTCTATTTGCCCCACGGAGTTTTCTTCTTTCAATCACCGGAAGATGGTCCAAGTGTGTATTACTGCGGGTGTTACAAAGCCAAATCCGAGAGTGGCCATCTGCGCCTTTGCACCTGTCCGGATGGATGGCAAGTGAATGAATACTTTCTCAGTGTTTTCCGTTTATTTCCCCCCTGGCTCTGGCATTCGAATTCTTGCACCCGAACAATGGATCTCAAAGTAGAAACTGAGGAAATGGATTCAGAGCAACCTCCGCCCATAGAAGTTTTTGCGCACAGGTCGACCCTCCACGGAATCTCCCACATCTTCACCTACGAGCGGTTCTGCATCAAACGCTGCCTGTGGCTCGTTGTCTTCTTGGGCTCCCTGACCTTCTTGCTGTACGTGTGCGTGGACCGGATCCACTTCTACCTCGAATACCCGCACGTTACCAAACTGGACGAGGTCACGACCCCGATCATGACGTTCCCCGCGGTCACATTCTGCAACCTGAACGCGTTCCGCTTCAGTCGGGTCACGCGCAACGACCTGTACCATGCAGGAGAGCTGCTGGCCCTGCTCAACCAAAGGTAACCATTAATGATCTTTAAATCAAGATTTCAATATAATAGCATGATTTATAATCATTCAAATAACACAATATTTGGATTCTCAGTTGACTTAACTTGTACGTTTTGTGGCACTTTATATTCCATAAGTGGAGAAAAAACTGAAGGGTGCTTTTGACTGTGTACTTTACAGATGCAAAACATGCATTGCTATAAAATACTGAAGAAAAACTGAAACAGCAGTATTTTTTTGTGTGATGCCAATATGTTAATATTTCCATGGTAATAGTATGAGTTATAAGCACCCTTGCAGTAACCTTTTGCCAATTAAATCTGCATATTTGTTGGTGGTATTGTCATGAATCGACTGCATTACAGACTGGTATTTCACAGAGAGCCAACCACTGAATTCTTAATCCCATCAATTTGGCCTCAGTCATCCAACAAGCCCCACTTGTTTCCACCTTGTGGAGTCACACAGTGCTCGGAGAGTTCGCATGTCAAGCTTGAATTAAGTAAGGCATTTTAATCAGAAACTTCCAGCTGTTTGGTTGGTGCCGCTAAAGGCTCTTGATACTGGAGCTTGGCAACGGTTCGCACTGGAGGAAGAGATGTGGAGAGTCTGCTTTCTTTGATTACAAATTCAATTGGAAAAAACATGCATTCGGCTATTGTCACACTTAAATCCTTGTGTTTGGAGCTTGCAAAGCTTCAAATGAACTCCTCCCTTGCATAACTAAGTCAACTTCTGAAGATGCTAATAAAAAGGATATTTTATTATCATTATAAAATTGCTGAACAAACCCTTTTAGTGGCTAAGATTGTGCACTGTTACTGTCAGGCAGAAGAGAGACAGGATAGAGGAGAGACACATCCGGAGAAATCCTTAATAACGATGGCTTTGAGAACTCACCCCACGGTGTTGAAACGTATTTTTTTCTTCCCAAATATCAGCAAAGGCAGCAGCAATGAAAGAATTATCAAGATGTTTTAAATCTCTTTGGCTTGTGCGCAACAATGTTTCCGGAGAAGAGAGTGAGGGCTAAAGGCTCAGCCGATATTATATATATACTTTTGTGCATGTTTTGAATCAACTTCCGTCCTATCCCTCAGTGAAGATTCGAGAACAAACCAAGAGAGCAGTTTGTCCTTCTAAATGAGGACTCATTTGACACAACTTTTGGGGAAGCTAACACCACAGTAGAAAGGAGTTTCCCTTCAATCCCATATATTACACGGTAAAATAGGTTTAGTCCTCCCTCTGTGGCCTGCCTTGGTGAGGAAGAGAGGCAATGTGATGGCACACTTAGCTTGACACCCCACAGTCACAAATGGAAGCGCTTGTGGCATTAAATCCATTTAAGGCTGTTCTCCGCCCACCTCTCGTGTTCAGAGTCATTTGTCTGCGAATGATATTTAAGCTCTGCACATGCTGAAGGCGCAAACTGCCATCTTCATCAGCCCCGTCAGCTTTCACTTGTAGGACTTTATCTCAGTGTGCTTTCTTGGCAGATTTGTCCAATATCTGGAAAGCTGGGGCTCAGTGTTCTTCCTCAGTTAAGTTCTTCCTCATTCACACAGAAATACTCCCTATTTCTGTCTTTATCTGGTGAAGCCAATGGTAATAAAACTAAGATTACTTACAGCACCGTTGTCTTTGGAGGATTTCAGTTGGACTGCTGGATGTGCCGTTGCCTTCATAAAAACAGAATTAAAAGGTTTCTTCCAAGCTTTCCACCACATGTAATTTCCAGACGTGTGTTATGACATCAGATATTCCCCTCTTTCATTTTAATAGAGCAAACGAACTGAATCTCATTCTTATTCATGCAGTCCATGAAAATGCATGGGGCATATGAGGGATTCTTTTCTCCAAAAGGATCAATAAAAGACCTTATTCACATAAGGGTACATTCATGTGAGAAACTTGTTAAAGCCTTTCATATGAAGCCGTGTTCAGAAAAAGAAAACTCCATGCAATCTCCTCTTTGGTAAGTCCATTAAAATGGTGACATTTTTAATAATAGCACGGTGGGAGATCACAGCAAGGGGAACGAGTGGGAGCATTTACAGCTATTCTGCTCTCTTTTTCCACAAGGCAGCGTGGTCCATTTTTTTCTCAGCTCCATTAAATGAAAGTAAATTTCCCTGTGCCACCGATAATGCTTCATGTGATGTGGGCTCTTCAGCTCCACACTCAGTCACTTGCCACACTTTATTCCCAGTTGACTTTTAGAAAGACTGGCAGATCTTGCAAACAAAATAGAGCTACAGAAATATAAAAGAAAAGCACACCGTGCACAGTACGCTGCTATCTGGGATTAAGCATTCAACAGCCATACAGGTAAACAAATGTTAAGAAAATATCTTGTTTGCTTAATCAAACGTTTTCTAAACCCAAAGCAATGCATGAATTATCTGTAAAAACTATCATAAACTTATTACAGTGTCTAATTTCTAGACTTATAATGCTGAGTTTTTACAACATTTTCCTTATTGATAAGCATAACTATGAAGAAGCTAACTGTATCTCTGTGGTAAATCTCTGTGGGCTATGGTTAAAAAAAACACACAAAAAAACAGCATTCTTTGACCAAGGACTCTGCAGAAACTGTGAATGTGTCATTTCACAGATGAAGTGACCCATCCAGTTCATCTTTAAAGCAAAATGTGAAATAGTTCAGAAAACGTCATCTTTCAATGCATGTTCACAGACCTAACAGACAATGTTTTTCATTGATGCTGCTAAATACAAAAAAAACCTAGTAAGAATACAGTGTTACCAGTTTCCAAGAAATACATCACATTAAACAGCTGTAGCATTGCATATAATTATTAACATCTTGGTTAGAATATGTTGAATTGTAAGCGATTGAGGCTAAAACAGACATGAAAATGTAGAGTTCACATGTATGATGGTGAATAAAAATCCTATTCTCTATTTTTGTCCAGCTGTTTCCAGCCTTGTGTTCAGACCTTGCTGCTGCGCTTTGGATACCAATAAGAGCAAAGCCAACATCATTTTAGTTTACAAAGGCCAGATGCTGGTGTATTGCGTGTGTTCAATTGTGCAAACCTGCATCTGTTAGCTCCTCTTTGGCTGAATACTGGTCCCCAGTTATTATTTGTCCAACAGCCACACAGAGAGTTGGACACAGGAGCTCAGTGCAGCGGTGGACTCTGTCCAACACATTCAGACAAGTCTGTGGATTATGTGCCCCTTTAGACCATGCTGTGTACTTCTCACACCACTGTAAGTGTGACTAATAAGGGGATACGCAATAAACTAACATTGCCAGGGCAATTTGATTCCAGGATGGCCTTAATGTCTCTAAGAGTTGTCATGATTCTAACAGATATTAATGCCATGTGGGAACGAGGCCATTGAGTTGACTGACACTAGGATGTTTAGCGGTTTAATTTTGTGAGATAATTGACTTTTGCTGATTGGAGAGGCTTCAACTGATGATTTAAAATGACAAATGTATCCAATGGCAGTTTACAAAACCTTGTGACAGCGTGTGCACCTTTGAGCAGAGCTATGATCAGAGACACCCAGAAACCCATAAAGAACTAATTCAGCCAACAACTGCCATGATTTGGTCCTCTTTCCTGGCTCCCCTAGCTCTAAAAAGCTTTTGTGCAGCACACATTTTAGCATCCCACTATAGGCAGACACCATTAGCCTCCAGCCGGTGAACACAGAGGACCAATTAGCTGAGGAGACAGGTGCAGTCCAGACTAAGTGTGCCTACAGTCCCACATCTTTCAGTCCCAGAGGCTGTAAGCTTTGGCACTTACAATTTAATGTAATGCCAATTATCCTCTGGTAAAAAGTGCCAGGTCCCAGCTTGATTGGCTCTGAATTAATTAGATATTTTGCTGCTAAATTATATTTGAACAGCTACTTTGCTTTTAGCTGGAGCTCAGTGATTGAGTTGCAGTGGTGCGTTGGTACTAGGGGGGTCGTACATCCGACAGACAGGAAGAGTTTTCAGTTTTATGAATCGGTAGTTTGCATCCCTCATTTCTGCTGCTCCCTCACTGCTTAGAAGTCTGAACCTGCTGGTAGGCCATTAGCTCTGAGTGCTCCAGTTTCTCCCCACAGTTCAGAGACATGTCGGCTTATATAAAGATTCAAGGCTGCATTTCCATTTCTTTCCTCACCTGTGGTGGGTGTCGAGGATGCAGCCAACTTCCCAGCCATTCACACCTAAAACAGATTCTGAGTTGGATGTTGATTTAAGGTTTCTGTTGCCAGCTGAACATTTTGGCTGACATTTGCTGGTAATTCCAATGCAAGCCAATTTTTTATTCATTTGTTGTCAGACTTAGCATCCTTTAATCGGTCGGCCACAGAGCGACTCGGCCGAAGAGGGCTTAACTAAATGTCACATGGTAAAAACAACCCAGTCAAACAAATTTGGGACCATCCAGTCACACTTCGTCCCACAAAACGAGAGGAGTGACGCTTGATTTGAAGCTGATGCGCTGACAGTGATTTGGTGTCTGGGTTTATGAGCCAGTATCTGAACGTTTATTATAACGCGTACAATAAAATGTTACACCCTGGTAATGCTTTTCATTTGAGAGCCATTTAATGTCGGGGAAAACACATCATGCAGAGTTTCACGTGTTGATTCCAGACAGTTACTTTTTTTGCTCTATTTGAGAAGAGTATAAGATTCATAAACCTCCCTGAAGTGTGAAAAAGATATTTAAAGGCTGTATTTCTTTACCGTTGGGGTGGCATTTATCGACGTACTATAAATCCACCAGTCCGTGCCAAACTGCGGGGCATTAAAATTGCATTTGCCTCGCTTTCATCCGTTTTTGGCCAGGTACGAGATCAGGGACGTACACCTCGTGGAGGAAAGTGTGCTGGAGAGCCTGAAGGTCAAAGCCGACTTCCACAATTTCAAGCCAAGATCCTTCAACATGTGGGAGTTCTACGACCGCACCGGGCACGACATCAATGACATGCTGCTGTCCTGCCACTTCCACGGCACAGAGTGCAGGCCAGAGGACTTCAAAGTGGTAAGTCTCTTTTTCCAGAAGATCCGTTGGGGTGACAGTGCTGTGAGCGCTTTGAGCTGCCGTTGTGTGTGCAATGTGCCATACGAATAAGGTTTCCTCTCCTAACCCAGTTATAGTGAAACTAGAGGAAAGCATTTGGCGAATGTTGGTTCTACACCCTCCTCCTCTATGAGCTGATCATTGTTTGAATGCATTTAGTTTTTAAAGACAAAGTCATCTACTAAAAGTGTGTGGAGTGAATACTTGCCAATTTGTTCAGTACCTTCTGTTCTTTTGAAACTATTTACATGCTTCCAAAGTCCACTGAAGCGTGATCGATCATCACAATTCAGACGTCAAGCAAAAACCACCAGGAAACATTCACGCACCAAAATCCTGTTCCCTCCTTATAAATTCTTAATTTCTCACACAGTGGGAGACATTAAGAGATTTGATAGTGGATTATCCTTAAATTGGGTTGTTACTGCAATTATAAGATTCCAGTATGGGAACAGATTAGATTCATGTCACTGTCGCCACTTACTCCTTCTAGTGCTCTATTTATGAAGATACAGCAACACCTGATTTCATAGCAGAAGTGAGTGCACATTTCATACTGTTTTTCATTCACACGTTAACTCAGCCTATATTTACGCGCAAATCCTTGACAGGCTGCCTTAGGTTTCACTGACATGGATTCGAGTACGGAAGCAAATAACCGACAGGCTGTGAAAACTCAGCAAGCAGCGATTCCATTCGTGACACAGAGTTATGTTGTAAGTGCTCAGATCACAGATGGAACTGAGCAACAGCTAAAGTCAGCACCTTTGTCGGCTTAACTGATGTGTACTTACCGAAATGGAAGTGATATTACGATACATTATTAATGTCCGCCCACACTGATATTGCACCAATCTAACTTTCAGCAGTCAGCGCTCGCATTTGACATTAAGTCGGCTGCAGGTAGGGTTCGGCCGGGGAGTCATGCTTGGCAAAAAAAAATGCACACTGCTTAGAAATTTCTTCCGACATTATGCAGGCACTGCAGAACACAGCCATGTCACATGACAGCGAAACCTCAGGGGAGCACAGAGACTGCAGTGTTCTAAGTCTGGAGCTGGAGTTGCTTTCCTACACCTGTGCCAACTGGGAACCCCTGAGGTGACAGCTAAATGCCCTGCCTACGCTCAGGCCTCACTGGCATTCAGCATGAGACGTGTCGCTTTCATTTCTTTATTTGTTTTTTAATCAGTATTGGCATTGCGATGTTCTTATTGTTTCAATAAAAAGAGACATTTTACCGATTTGTAACCCTCTAAAACAGCCTTTGAGCTTTTGTAAAATAAGTCTTTTTTTTGTGAGCTCACTCATACTTCAGAAGAGAACAAATGTGAAGCTCACTAGAAGTATTTAAATCTTTAAAGTGACTTCAGGGGCACAAAAGAACTGAAGTCACTGACAGCTCACCTTGACAATGGAGCAGTTATTCACGGTGAGCGGTGGTCAAACAGTCAAGAGAATAAAGACTTTTTGCTACAAATGTACAGAGCTCTCTTTCCCAAGTAATGAACTCAGGTGCCAGAAATGTTTCTGTTGTAAGAATGCTTTAAAACTAATGTAACCTTCGATAATCTAAATGCATGTTGGCTTGTTTCAGTTACAGATATCAAACTTTGTACAGATGTAGTATTAGGCATTTATGGAAAATCAACACTTAAGAAAGAATAATGCTATTTTGAACTGGACCAGGGAGGGGGAGTATATGATTTTCTGACATGAAACACAATTATCAGCACGGAATCTTATCCAAACTACAAAGATTACATCTTATTTTTCTTTTTTTCTGATGATCACCCTCTGGTCTTTTCAGATAAATTAGATTTTGAACCTGTGCCAAAAAGTTCTTGTTATAATATAAGATCAAACATGTTTGGAGCCTCTTACTTTGCTTGAATTCCCGGTGGCCCCTGGTCTAAACGTTTCCATGTAACTTTCCATTTACTTAGTGTTACCATTTTTGCAAACAAGGAAGAGACATCTTTTTATTTTTAGATATTATTGGAAATGAGACCACTGTAGGAGAGGCTTGTGGATTAAAGCTGATGAAGAAAGTGTGCTCGATGGCAGAGGTATTCTATACTGTATATCTGAATTATGCAGATATATGTTTCCCCCGTACCAGAGGTCCTTGGATTGGATGTGTCAGCCATAAAGCCCTGCAAAAGCAGCTGACACCCATTGTTGCTACAAGTCACTGACAGGGAATGATTTAGTTTTTTAATCATTTATTTGTTTATGTTTTCTTGTCCTTATTTTTTTTGTCAAACATTGGACAAACACCTTTCCTCACTGCAGAGGACTGCTGGGTAAATATGGCGTCAGCTAAGTGCTCAACGGCGTGCTGTTCTGTTCAGTTTAGAAAACCGCTCGGTATCTGCTGGTGTAATTCGCTCAACATAATTTAGTAGGAGTTGGCTAGATGGCGGGATGACAAATCAGATGTGAGAGGGGTGCCCTCTTTAAGTCAGGCACAGCTCAAGACACACAAGTGTGACCCACGGGCGTAGCAGCTTTGTGAGGTGAGGGGGGGGCAAAGGTGGGGCCCACACGTCCACACGGTAGGTGAGCTGCTCTGCAGAGCATTTTCAGGAGCATTTTACTTAGCTTAGTGCAACTTATGGTTAGTTTACATAATTTTATATTTGGTGGAAGGATGATTCTAGACCTTTACCTCACAGATAGTTTGAAAGCAGGAAAGGCTGCGTTAAAAACATTCTAAACCGGAAATAGCTTCAGATCTCCAACATCATTGTATTTGTGTGTATCTGTGACATTTCACAGTATAAAATGGTCAAAAATAGTTGCAGTATGTGCTGGAATAATAATAGAAGAGTGGAATCACTGGTGAGTGTGAGTTGTTGTCGGTCCTGTTCAACTCTGCGTGGCCCTTTTGGCCATTTTTCTGGGATGTACCCCATTTCTGGCCCAGTGACAGCTTGAATAGGCTCCAGCAACCCTATTTATGAATAAACAACTGCGATCAAATAAATTGATAGATTATATGATGTGTAGTTTTTCCAAAAAGATGAATATGAGTTTATTTTATATTATGAGATGATATTTGAGAAAAATGGCTAAATGGGGTCATGACTTTCTGTATGAGATAAGATAATGTAAGATAAGATAAGATCCTCAAAATTGCTTCTCAAACTTATTCTCTCTCTCACCTCCTTCATCTCCCTCTGAACGTTGCTCTTTTTCTACATGTCATTTATAAATCTAACATGGTCATTTTTCTGTGTAGAATGACCCACTGAAAATACTGTCATAACTCATTTGAACCATAACCCAACATTTGATTTGAATTACTAACTGTAAAATAGTTTTTCAGGAGGTATGAGCATCCTTTCTCATGAATCTTTGTTGTATATTATAAATTGTTTATTTAGCTATTAAGTATGATTTCCCACTTTCATTATCACTGCATAATCTAATTATCATTAGAATTACTGCCTTGTTTGTTAAATAAACCTCAAACCTTTTTATTGCCTGGCTGTCGGATCTTAATTTCCATTTGAGCCAGGCTGCACTGGAGATGAACACTGAGCAATTTGTTATTTGTATTGAACTGGTAAATCCGCATCTTTACTGCATTCCTACAGTTTCTGATGTCTTTTAATCCTTTTCACGAAAGATGTTGTGTTACTGTACGGTGACAATAATAGAACCAGTGGTGACTTTAGCCTGTTTATCTGCTTCCGACGCGTATTCCAGCTGTCGTACTGCCACAGTCACGACTAATTGGGTTACTTGAAGAGAAAGGAGCCGTTCCAGTTGTTGTTAGTTGTGCCTGTGATTGTTTTAGACCTTTTGCCGTGAAAAGTCCGTTAGGATTTCACGAGCTGAGGTCACCTTTCAGCCTTCCTGCTTGTTAAAAACCGAAACATAAGTGGGTTTGTGATGAATTTGTTCTACTCTTTGAGAATTTAAGAAGAAAAAAAAATCCCAAACCGAATAGCGCTTTCTGAGTCGAGGGGGCACGATTGTGGTTGTGTGGCTCTTTAATGATGTAGTAGAAGCGGGCTGAGCACAAAGCCCGTCTCTACAACCCAAACATTGCATCATTACTTTGCCATGATAGGATTGGAAACAGCGCTGTGGTTGTGAGCACATGCTTCCAAATTCTTGATTAGTTCCACCTCAGTCATCTCTCTAGTCAGTGTCACTGGAATATGAAATGCACTCACAAGAATCATGCAAGTTTTGTTTGGAGTGGAGTGTGTGTGTGTGTGTGTGTGTGTACTGCTCCATCATATAAAAATTTGGTCCCCGCTAAATCTTGCTGGTATTTTCCTGTTTCTTCAGAATTGGAAGGGGAATGGTACTTTGTGTTATGGTTCATTTATGAAGCCCACAAGTCCAAAGATTATTCTAAAACCACCCCTTAATCCCATTTCAACTGTGTCTGCTTTAATAGAGACCCTTTGAAGAGTAGAGGGCGCTCAGAAAATTGCATCTGGCCAGAATGTAGTCACAGTAGAAAGGTGTTTCCCCTGTGGGGTTCAAAGCTTTTCTTACTCTCCTCTCGACTTCCTTTTGTAATCTACATCACAGCGCAACAAAACTGCATGATACACTGCCTTTGAAGATGGCCTTTGATGCAAGACATTGTTAATCTTTCCATCGTCTCGTTGCACAGCGCCTGATGAATAAGGAAAGCAATGCGTCCCTACTGACTGATCAAATCAGAGAAAGAGGCAGCGATAAGAGCCCTGATTCAGCC